TTTTGAATATATAACAAGATATTCTACAAAGCTTTTCAATAGAAACAAATGAATATATTGGGAAGTAGTTTTGTAAATATTATTAAATGCACTAAATATTTATTAGCAGTAGTTTGCCAAATTTATATGCAAGCAGTAAGAAGAGGCTACTTTTGCCCTGAGTTTACTACAATGAGCAAATTTTGATTCATTTTTGGTGACATCTTTAGGCAAAAGGTACAGAAGTTTAGGTGCAGAACTCTAAACATAGGGCATTCACTAGGAGAGGATATTAATGTAGAACTTTCCCCTTGAAGTTGGAACTCAAAGGCCTTTGTCTACAGGACTAAAAGTGAAGTACCGAATCTATACATTCCCACGGTTAAGAAAGTGCAAGAAACTTTTCAGTTTGACCTTACCAGAGTAGTGATGATGTTGAAATACATACTTGAAATTTTAATCACAAGCTAGCCATTATGTGGATTTTTAACCCCAAATTCATTTTATTTGATGGTTCAAATAAGGCTCAAGCCATGAATTTACATGAATATGATCTTAGACATTGATGCTGAAGTTGACTATGCACACAAATCTCTGGGAGAAGATATAAAATCTTCAACTTCAAAGTATCCCCCCCATACTTTTAATGGATAGCAAATAGTACAAATCAAAATTAAAAAGAACACACAGAGACAATGAAATCTGAGGGAAAATCAGCAGGAAAACACCCTTAAAACTTCACTTGGCATTATCAAACAGTATAAAACTACTTTGTTTAAGACCAAAAACCCCACAAACTTGACTACATTTTCAGGCATTGAGAAACTATATAGTTCCAATTTTATTATATGTGCTGCCAAAGCAAGCACAAAGAGGAACTATCAAAAAGTGGCATGGCAAATATACAAAAAATGTACTTAAAAATTTATAAATTAAATCTACATTATTGGAATTGAAAGCTCAGTGAATGAGTTAGGCAGATTGGAGTTGTAGAAAGAATTCTATGAATCATCTCAGAAGAATTTATTAATAATACTGCACAGAAAAATAAAAAGAAAAGAAAAATCTGGAAGGAAAGCTAAAGACATGGAAAATATACTCCCCCAAAATTCATCACATGAGAATTTAAAGAAGGTAAAAATGTTGTTTGAAGAGCTATGTTGAAAGTTTCCCAAAATGTCCCTAAATGACACATCCCAAATTTAAATCAACAGATTTAAGAATCCCAATAACTCTCAAACCTATAAAGAAAAGGAAACTCTTACCTAAACATTAGATGGAAGCTGCAGAACATCAAAGACAAAGAGATTTTTAAAGTAACCGGATGGGAAAAATATACTCATTTCAAAATGTTAGGCTTTGAACTGACCTCTCGGCAGCCATGTGCCCATCTGAAGACAGTGGAATTGTATACTGCTGTGCTGAAAGGAAGTAACTACCAAGCTACACTACCATGAAAATATTTGTAGTAATGAAATTAGAATGTTTATTCTAAAAGGTAAGATTAGAATGTTTGCTAAAGTTATGTTAGCAAGTTCTAAATGATAATTTCACACCCAAGGAAAGTGTCACAGATGAAAAGTCTATAATGAAGGAATGATAAAAGGCAAATATGCTGGGATCTACCTAAAAATTTAAATATATCAGATATGAAATTATAATGTAAAATAAGATTTTAAGGTCAAGGCCCAGTAACATGTTAGGGTGAGAGTAAAAGGAGCCAAGGGTCCTCAGATTATGGTTTTGTCCAACAGTGGTAAGAGTCTCCATCTTTAGGACAATCAAAATAGTAGAAACAGACACAAAAGATTCCTAACTAGTGCACAGGAAAGGTTTGCAATAATCATGTAATTCATCAATCTAGAAGAAGGCAATGGAAACATTGAAAACCAGAAAAACAAACAGGAAGTAGAAAATGAGACAGCACATTTATGACAAAATACCTCAGTTCTTATACAGTAAATCTAAGTGAAAAAGTGATAAGTACTCCGAATAAAACAAAACAATTTTCAGGTTCTCTAGAAATGGCAGATGACAAACACATGCTGTTTAACAGAGATGCTTATAAAATACAGTGATACTGAAAGTATAAGTATAAAATCATGGGATAAGTGAATGCATAGCTATATTTATGTTAGATTTTAAAAAATAAGTCACAGCCTGGCATGGCTGTGCATGCTTGTAATCCCAGCACTCAAGAGGCTGAAACAAGATCACTGTGAGTTCAAGGACAGGCTAGGGTACATTGTGAGTTCAAGGCCAGTCTGAACTACAGAGGGAGACCCTATCTCAAAACAAAAACTCATAGGCAAAAAGATTATTTTGTAGTGATAAACTGTCCTTAGTTGCATAACTTAGAAATAGGTAGAGCGAAAAAGAAATTTTTTTTGCTGTGGAAAGAAATTTTAAAATAACTAATACCCTTTTAGAAGATTTTAACATACCCTTCTAAATTAATTCAACTAGAATAAGTAGGTTAAAATCTGTATTGATGGTCTGGATAGCTCAATTTTCAGTCTTGACTCAGTAGGTTTAAGTGACACTCTAAACCTGTATACTTCCTTCTTTATTAGCACATTCAAAACACAAATCTGATCTATTGGTGCACTTAGCAAGTGTCAAGAAATTTGGAGGGCTGAAAACATATGGACTGATACTTTCTGTCCACTGCTCAGCTCAATAAAAAATAAAATGCAAGGGCCAGAGATTTAGCTCAGTGGTGCCACCGCCTGCCTCGCAAGCGCAAGGCCCTGAGTTCAATCCCTGGTACAAAAATAAAGTAAAATAAAATGCAAAGAGATAATCAAGCCTGAACTGTATGTTTGAAAGTGAAGAAACACTTTGCTATTCAGTATTCCTACTCATATATACACCGAAACAGTGTGACCATCGTATTCCAAACTGCCTGTCCTTTACATCCCTTGTTCTTCTTGGACACCATTACCTACCTCACTGCCTAAGGCATCATCTATGGTTACACTGACTTCACCTTCATTCAAGCTTTCATTCCTGATGTCATTTTCTCTGCAAATTGTGGTTCATGTTCCCCTATTTGCTACAGCATTTTTCTTAAATAATAACAGTAATACTAACAATTTAATCAGGTAAATCTTTTTATTAAAATTTTTTGAAATTTCCCCAATACCAAAAGGATAAAACTCAAACTCCATCTGATGATATTCTGTGATCTTTGAATGGCCCTGGACTTTCTATCCTATTTCCTCTTAAGGTCTCTCTTTTCTTTTTTTCTTTTTTTTTTTTGGTACCAGGGATGGGACTTGGGATCTTGAGCTTGTGAGGCAGGTGACGGAACCACTGAGCTAAATCCCTAGCCTGGTCTCATGTTTTTTTGTGCACCAGCAGCACTAATCCACTTGTGTTTCTCTAAGCATCCCCTCCTCTCTGGCTCCTGTTTGCCTTTCTTATTACATCCCAGCCTGACCATTTCCCATGTATCCTGGAAGATACATGTTCAGTCTCGCTTGCCTTACCATGTCTTGCCCAGTCAGTCCTCATAGTGTCTTCCACTGCTTCATTATTTTCTATCTACAGTTGTTTTTCAAGTTCAGTTTTGAAAATTAGCTTTCTAAATTGCTGCCTTCTGTGTTAAACCATGAAGTACATGGTGGCAGAGATTTGTTTTTTGAGCACATTTTAAAAAATTCTTAGCACCTTTAGAAAAAGGCCTTTAGCACCAAAATTGAGTTGTATATAGATAATATTGGAATTAAAAGGATAGTTTAAAAAAATTTGCTGGAAAAAAAAGAACTGATCAATAGATTGACATTATGAAAGACCAATATTTATTTATTTATTTATTTATTGGTACCAGGGATCGAACTTGGGTCCTTGCACCTGCGAGGCAGGCAGCATAACCACTGAGCTAAATCCCTGGCCCAACCAATATTATATTTAAAATCAGATGAAATTAAATGTAAGGTAGACCAATATTATATTGTAAAAAAAAGATGAAATAACATGTAAAGAATATCAGACAAGGCACTTACAGTGTCATAATTCTGAAACATTTTAGCATCTTGAAGTAAGGGCCACAGGTTATCTAGGTGAACAGTTTTTATACTGTCTAGCTCACAAAGGACCATATATATCTACTCAGTGGTGAAATTGTGTTACAAATGCAGCCACAGATAGTTTTACAGATTTCTCATGAGAGTGACTGAGTCACATGTTTAGAGCCCATGAAATAATTAAAATTATGTCCTTTGAAAGTCTTAATAAACTGATGGTATTTTGTGTACTTTATTGTATTTTATATAATTTAAATGGGTTTACCTAAAATATTGGGAATCTTTTCATCAAAAACCAAAAGGTTAGGTACCTAATGTAGCAAGTTTAATTATATAAAAAAATTCACAATTATGCTAGATAAATGAGCCATTGCAGAGTGTTGGAACTACCTCCACCTATGGTATAATTTGCAAAGTTTGCTTAAAGTTTGTACATGAATATTATGACTTGCAGCCAGATTAGATTATTCCAAATAATTCAGAAAATACACTTATAAGCTTGTGTTACCTATTTTATTAATTAATGAGTCGCCAGAAGCCCGTGGACTGAGCTTCACAGGGGAATAATTAAAATTCACTGACTTGAACCAACAGTATTATCTATTTCAAATCTCATGCCAGTGTGAAGCCCTGGTTTTATTCTGCATTTCACATGCAGAGTGTCATTTGAAGACTGATAGTATAAACAGTCATGACAATTTTATTTGGAGAGCAGTAGAAAGAAAAATAAAAATCAACTCTGCTTTTTAGCCTGCAAATGGTTTGGGAAAGCAATTGTAAAGCAATGAGGTTCATTCCCTGCCCATATTCAGAAAATCTAATTTCCCAGATCAAACTGAAATTCCTGGGCCTGAATATCTTCTATACCCACCTTTTATACTGCCTTTCTATGGCATCTGTTCTTAAAAATAGCTTCTTATAATAAAAACAGCCAATAAGAGTAGCTTATTATAAGGTTCAGGTCTCATCTATTTTAATACATCTTTTCTACAGATCCTCCTGCTGTGGAACCAGCATTCTTGGAAATTCGTCAAGGGCAGGACCGGAGTGTCACCATGAGCTGCAGGGTCCTGAGAGCCTATCCGATACGGGTGCTGACCTATGAGTGGCGCTTGGGCAATAAGTTACTCCGAACGGGTCAGTTTGACTCTCAGGAGTACACGGAGTACCCAGTGAAGAATCTTTCCAATGAGAACTACGGGGTTTATAATTGTAGCATCATAAATGAAGCTGGAGCTGGGAGATGCAGCTTTCTTGTTACAGGTAGGATTCTAAATACTTTCATTTTGCATATGTTTTAAATTTTGGCCAAGAAATCATAGGCCTATGTCAACATAAAAGTGAAATAATTTTCTCAATCCATAGAATATACAATGAGCAGCTTAAAACAATTAGAACCTCCATTAGTGTATTTTCAAGGCAAGTCTATCTTAGTAGCTATAATAACACCTGTGCCTACAAAATTACACAGAAGTTTATTTGAATTCAAATGAAATGAGGGATGAGGTTGGTTATTTTGAGTACATCAGTAATAAACTGACAAAGTGGTAGCTAGAATTATTGAGATCAGATTGCAAATGTGAACAGACTCCTGTTCTGGTGTTTTCTGTTTTTAACTTGGATTTTATTAGAGAGAGTGCATAGAGCCCTGGAATTCTTAATAGCAGTGGGAGTGTTTTGTTTTGTTTCCATATTTATTTATTTACTACCTCTTCATGTACAGTGATTCTCCATTTTGGCTGTGGCTTGGTGTATCTTCACAACATTCCAAGGAAAAGCCATAATATTGTATGTGGCATATAATATGAAGTACTGATACTTTTGATGTCATTATCTTTTAAATGTTTCCTCTATCTTACATATGAATTTATATTGTTTTGATAACCTATATACTAAAATGATGATCTATATACTGTTATTTTTTGAGCCAAGGTATAGGCCAATAGTAAAACAAAATATTCTTTTTCATTGTTATTTTGTCCTGGGAAAGTTGGAATGTGTATGCAAGTGAAAGAAACTGGTCATTGTGTATTATCTGAAAAGTAAGTATAAAAACTGATTAAAATATTCAATACTGAATATATCTTCATTAATTATGTGAATTCTAAGTGTTAGCACTTACTTGTGAGAAAACTTGCTATATATGAATTTGCCTTGAGGTATTTTGCTTACTTGAAATGTATTATTAGGTAGGTAAAATATAATTGCCTAAACAAAGAACATGAAAGATGTCTCCTCTTCTGGATCTTACTGCCACTTGGTTTCACAGCAGTTTTTTTAAAGATTGATTTCAGTGTAAGGCTTTTCTATTTTGATTTTTAAAGTAAACTATTAACATAAATCTAAAAGTTCCTAGAACAGTACTATTTACATGATAATCTAACTGCCAATCTCTTACTAAAGAAGGTAGTTTAAATGGACTGGTTTACTTTCAATTCTATTTTTTTCATTAACTGAGTTTATTTGTACAATTTAGGTATACATAATGATCACATTCATCATATGGAATTTGTACCTGTACATAATATATTTTGCTATATATTTGCCCTCCTTTCCCTTCTACCCCTCTTCTCATTCTTATATAAAAAATGTTTCCATTTTATTTTTCTTTTCCCTTTTGTTCCTTTCCCTTCCTTCTTTTACCCCTCCCAAGTTCCTTGTGTCCCTTCTCATTTGAACATTTTCTTCCTATTTCATAATATTCATTATACATTTTGGTTCTTATTTACACTTACAATTTCTCCCACCAGAGAAATGATGTGATATTTACACATGTGTGTCCAATTTATTTCACTTAATAGTATAGTCTCTAGGTCCATCCACTGACCTATACATAATCTCAAGTTTATCCTTCTTTAGGGCTGAGTGGTATTTCATTATATAAAAAAACACATCTTTATCCATTAATCATTGATGGGCATTTGGGCTGTTTCCAAAATGTAGCTATTACAAACTGTACTGCTATGAACATGGGTGTGCATATACCACTGTGATTAATTCTTTCAGGAAAATACCAAATGGGTCATATGGAACCTCTAGTCCTAGTTTTTTGAGGAATCTTTGTACAGATTTCCACGAGTAGTTCCACACTCCCACCAGCAGTGGAAAAGTGTTCCTTTTTCCCCACAGCCCTCTCAGCATTTGTTTTTGGTTGATTTCTTGATAGCAGTCATTCTTTCTGGAGTGAGATGGAACCTCAGGACTGTTTTAATTTGCATCTCTTGAATGACCAGTGATGTTGAACATTTTTCATATATTTATTTGCTATTTCTACTTCTTTATCTGAGAACTATCTATTCATTTCAGATGCCCATTTTTAGATTAGGCTTTTAAATTTGGGGGGCTTGATTTTTTTTCCGTTCTTTATATATGCTAGATATCAATCTTTTGCTTGAGGAACACCTGGCAAAAATTCTTTGCCACTCTGCTGGTTGTCTCTTCACTCTGTTTGGTGATTTCCTTTGCTGTGCAAAAGATTTTCAATAAGATGAGATCCTAGTTGTTGATCCTTTGTGATATTTCCTGTGCGATTGGGGTTTTGTTTATAGTCTTCGCTTACTCTTATGTTTTTAAGAGTTCTAACTATTCTCTTTTTCAGCAGATTCAGTGTTTCTGTTTTAATATTTAGATCTTTGATCCACTACTTTCAATCTTATATATTATTTTCCAGAACAATAAAAACTTCCAAAGGTGATTATTTTTCACATATGAATACAAATGGAGAACCTTAATTTAATTTCATTCATTAATTCTCCAAAATTAAAAATAAAACTCCATACATTTTTTGTATATCCTTTTATTGGTACATTTTAGGTGTACAATATAATGACATTCATCATTGAAAACTCCATAAATTTAACTACATCCTTTTCTTCCACTTTTCTGTCCTTATACGTGCTCTGATTTTCTGTGACGACACTGTTTTCTAACTTTTGGTAGAAGGCTTAGGTCCATGCTGCTTTCGCAAGATTTTCATTTGCTGTCTATTACGTAATTTCAATTCTATTTTGATCCAGAATACAAGCTGTGGTCCGAAGAAACACAAAGCCCCATCCACCCATTCCACACCCATGGGGTGCAGCCCATAGACTTTGATAACTATGAAAAATAATAAGCCTGTCACGAGTTGCCTCATAGAGGAAGAGGAAATGGCTCCATGCATTCGTTTCCAGCATGCACTTTTCAATCTTCAGGTTAGCCTTATTGTTTCAAGATGTCCACATAAAATGAAATATTGGGCCAGGGATTTAGCTCAGTGGTTTCAGAGCCTGCCTCGCAAGTGCAAGGTCCCAAGTTCGATCCCCGGTACTGAGAAAAAAAAAAAGAAATATTGTTTTGAGAAAGAGACAAGGAAATGACTGAATCCCAAATAAAATATAATCTATGGAAAGATTATATATCTATATCATATAATATATAGATATATAATAAATAATATATATTTTTCCATAACGTCTGGTGTCTGGAACGAATTTGAATAATTATTTCCTCCACTAAAATATATCAGGATTAATATTCCTCATGATTTTTCTTCAAATTCAATTCTCTTTGAAACTAACAGAAGAGAGGCAAGGAATAGAAAATATACAAGGATACATATATTCTTTATCCTCAAAACAGATCTTTGAAGACAATTTGTTTTTACTTCCTGAGATCTAATTTAATGAAGAAATTTTAACTTTTTAATTTTTACACTATTTTGCCAAATTCATAATCCTGCTTTCACTCAATTTAGTTACCCAAGTTAAAAACTTGACTGCATTGTTCGCCAGAATGTACAGTGTTGAAATAAAAATAGCATCTATGCTTTAGCTTCCACAAAAGCTCAAGAAAAGAAAACACCTCATTCTTGTTCTATCTTTCTTATCGTGTGTGTAATGTGCATGAGGGTACAGGGGTGCAAGAGGGGGATTGTGTTTACTGAGGCATCAGAGTGGGTATGAGAATATTTTCTTGCTGGGCAAAAAGAAGAAAGTAAGCAAAGATATCTGTGAAATATCAAAATGCAAGCTAGTGTTACAGAATATTAAGTTTAATACTAGAAAATATTATATATTTGCATATTATAGTTGGTAATTTTCATGGTACAATTATAGCAGTTTTCTATTGGTTAAGTAAGTTTAGTGAACTATTATAGGAACCCAGAGAGCACTTGTCATTTTTTCCTCTGGGGGGAATGTTTACAAATTCTGAAGAATGACGTGGCATATTGATTCATTAGAATTAACCCATTGATAAATATGAAATTCCAAATACTTATCTACATATATATTTATATGTTTATAAATAGAGATGTAAATATTTGTAGTTTACTATATATGTTTTAGTATAGCTGATAATTCAATTGCAGCATAAATTTCACTTTATGACATTTTTAGAAGGGTCCTGTATTCACTTTAAAAATTCTTAAATATTTAAAAACATGTAGGTTTATTCTTTCATAAATATCATTCTGTATTATATCCTGGCATGTAACTTGATCCAGAACAAAAAGTCCTCAGCAAATCTGGAATGATTACCAAGATAGATAGCTGGACAAAAGAATCACTGCTTGAATGAAAGAAAACTTGCTGAAAATTATTTTTAAAAATAGGAAAAGAAATGATCATGGTGATGGTGAAATAGTTCTTCAAGTCCAAAATGAGTAATAGATTTTTGTAATGGACTGATCATCCTCAAAAAGATACATTTATGTCCTAGTCCCGCGAATCTATGAATATTACATTATATGGCAAAAAGAAAAATGAGACAGTAAAGGATTTTGAGTGAAGGAGCTTATCCTGGATTATCGAGGTGGGCATCAAATAAATCACTTGTAAGAGGCTGGCAGGGGAGGCCTGAGAGTGAAGAGAAAGAGGCCTTGTTTGTTCTCAGTGATGCAGATATGAGACCAAAGAAGCCCTCAGGCTCCCAGAAGCTGGAAAGACAGGGAACATCTTCTGTGGAGCCTCTATAGGAAACTGGACCCTGCCAAGACCTTGGCTTCAGACTTCTGGCCTCTGGAACTGTTGGAGAATAAATTTGTTTTTAAAGACCACCTAGTTTGTGGTAAATTTTTATGGCTATCTAAGAGAATTTATATGTATTACAACTTGGTGCTTCAACAAATTCCTTTCTTTAAATTGCCACCAGCTGAATAGAAACACTTTCCCAAATATCCTCACCTTTGTCACACTAGCAGGCCAGCCTCCTGGACCAGGGAAGCACAACTTCTTAGAAGCCAGTAGAGCTATAAGCCATGATTATTTTGTCTTCTGAAGAGC